GATTTGAGCACGACATTACTGGAAACATCTTAGTCACTGAGCTGCTCTGAGACAACCCAGCCCGGGTTAACTAACTGTCATGGGTATCATTTCTTTTTACCTCCAGAGAAGAAGCAACACCACCTAGCTCAGGGGTAGGCAACCTTGGCTCTTTTATGACTCGTGGACTTCAACTCCCAGAATTGGGAGCTGAATTGGGAGCTATGCTGGCTCAGGAACTCTGGGAGTTGAAGTCCACGAGTCATAAAAGAGTCAAGGTTGCCTATCCCTGTCCTAGCTGTATACCCCAATGACTCTCATATACAGGAATGTTGGGATAGAAGCATATGAATATTTATTTTGCGTATTAATAAAATTTATGTGGAGTTTATATGAAGTTATGAAATTTCCATGAGATAAATTTATATCACAAGAAGTATTTTTAGTTGATAATGAATCAATACAACAATATGAAGATTCCTGCATTCTATAACGCAACCAAGTGAACTGGGAAAATATTTTGGGGCAATAATAACATAACTTTGTCAAGTGAATTTCATAGACCTGGGTAACAGTTGTTGCAATTAGCTGAGGACAGAAACAATATGCAGACCTATTAGTATAAACAATAAACTCTCCTCGATACCACATTCCAAAATCAGGGAAACTTCTGTTGCACATTTGCACTAGTAGTCTTATATTGGATCATGTCATATATTCTTCTGGTTTCACCTTTCCAAATATGCAGCCCATATGCTTAATAAACACACCCAAGTCTGAAGCAGAGGGACTCTGGAGACTTCTTAAATCATGACATTTTTCACAAGGCTGCTGCCAGTTTACTGTTCCTTATTTTCTCAGATACCCAATGTACTTACAGTGTCACTGTCAAGTTTGAACTGCACAAGTTTATCAATCTTTTCAAACTAAGTGGAAACAGATATTTTAAACACATTCCTTAATCTGACTCATACCAGGCAAGTTTCCTAATGGTACAGTAGATAATCAATATTGTTGCCAGTTGATTTATATTGCCTGTCAAGGAGAAGTAATTTTATGCTTTCAGGTGAAACCTATTTGCAGATACTCTTGACCAAGCGCATGCCTCCAATACACATAGCAGCTCTTATACACACCTTTTGTGGTTATGGCATCAGTTTCTTTCATACATGCTCATTTCCAAGGCCCATGGGGCATATTAATTTATATGCAGTGCTGCAGTCCAAAATTCAACAGCACATTATTCTTACCAGCTGCAAAGCCCTTCATTTTCTACCAATAGTTTACAATGGTATGCAGCTGGCCTATAAAATATTATTCAGGGTGAAGCACCTTTTATACAGCATGGATCAAGCTGTACAAAGCTGCATTTGATCTGACTTTGACATGTGAACTGGTTTATACAGGTTGAGCTGATCTTTGGGGTATATACCAGGAGACACTTTAGAATACGTCCATAGAATGTTCTATGTGAAAGCAACTTGTTAAGTTGGAAATGCTGGTTTTCAGAAGTTTAGCAGGACATGAATTAGAATTGAATGAAAGAATATTCAGATCAGACCATAAAAAAGCTTTCTTTATCAAGTTCTTTAGAACCGTGCTACTGTATTGTTGTTACTCATGATACTTGAAAAACTTTCATCATGTAGAATTTTGTGATCAATAATCACTTCTGTGTTTATTATGTTGCAAATGTGTAATCTATGCAAGGTCTGCACTTTTATATTTGTATACTGATAGACAGGTAATTCATTGCAATATTTTCAGTGTCTAAGAATATGTTTATGATGTTAATAAGGTCAATCCGAAAGTGTAAGAGAGGGCAGTTTAGCTGAATGCAGCCTAGAGACTTTCATTAAAGTTGAGCAGAATATTCAATGATCACATCCAAGGCAAGTTTCTGTTTCCCCCTTACTCTTCTCACCATTGTGATCTGTAATCAATACCATTTTTTTTTATCTCTCCCAACAGATTAAGGACATCTGTATAAAACTGTGTTCAACAAAGGGCAAAAACCTTGGCCAAAGGATTTTGAATACAGCATATTACAAAACTGATGTAAGATGTCAGGACAGGCATAATTTCAGACTGTTCCATTTAACTAGTTTGTCCTAGTGAGATAGCAGCAATGCATGTTCAATATTAATTACATGTTCTTCATCAGAAAGCAACACAGTTTGTTTTTGCTTTGCCTAATCAAAACATTAGTTTCACATAAAAACAATATCCTAAAGATATTTTGCACAAGTTGTTGGATATGCAAGGATGCAATGATAAAATCAAGCTTGTTCCATAGTCCCACCTGGGAAATTCTATACAAGCTTGCTCTACAATTACAGTTTATCTTCTTCTAGCTTGCACTCTAATGGGGGGGGGGGGTTAATGATATTCAGAATTCTGTGACTTACTGTGAGATGTGAGTTATTGGAGTCAGCAACGTCTCCCCCTCCAGGTCAAGTTCATCAGCAAAGCTGTTTGTTCTAATAAATGGTCCTGTATGTGGCTCTAAAAATGGAGAGTTCCTTTTAACTGCGGAAGAGAAACAGGCAAGTAAAGGTTATCTATGCCTAAGGGCTACAAAACATTTTAAAAGCTGTAAAATATTGAGGAATAAAGAGAAAATAATTAAAAGGCAGAATCAAATGTAAGTTTATAATATGAAGAAAATGGTATCCCTGAGTAGGTGCATACAAAGAAAAGGAGGACATGAGGGTTTTTAATTATTGTTTTTGTTCTGGAATTATGGCATAAATGTCTGTCCTTGTAAACCATTTTTTTTCTTTGGTAATATAGAAAACATAACACTTTGAATTATTCCAATATTATACTTAAACTAGGGGTTGTCTAATAGATTATATTATTGGATATGTCCAGTAACTTGTAATACAGAGCAAGATATATTGCTTTTAGATATAAGAACTCTGTGTATTAAACAAAAGCAAAGAAATATAATGAACCTTAAAAGACATATAAAAGTATTTTGCTTCAGCAATTATTAATATTAGCATGCTTAACAAGTGGTATTTTATGACAAAAATAAAAGCATAACACTTCGAATTATTCCAATATTATACTTGAACTAGGGGTTGTCTAATAGATTATATTATTGGATATGCCCAGTAACTTGTAATACTTTAGGAACAGAGCAAGATATGTATTTTTAAATGTTCTTAATAATAGCACTTTTTCTCCAAAATCTTATAAAGTTGAGGCATGTCCATCTAATAAACATAGTGTCTAGGGCTTACAAAACTTTTTTGGGGGGGTCTACAAAAATATTTTAAATTAAAAACAATGAAAATATTAAAAGTAACAACAAAGTTAAAAAATAATAGATGCCACCATTAGATATATTCAATATTTACTTTTTTATTTGCCTCTAAGTCAGTCATAACTCCTGAAAACTACATGGAAGAGTCCCTGAAATTTTCTTGGCAATTTCTTTTCACAAGATGCTTGCCACCAACTTATTCCTAGGGCTGAGAAAAAGTATTTGTCCAAAATCAGCCAGCTCATTTCTGTCCCTAAATCAGAGTTCCCTACTCCTAATCCATTGCTTTAACCACTTACTGAAACTTTATTACTTACTGTGACTGATTCCCAATAAATTGCTGATGAACATAGGTCCCGGCAATACTGTTATAACCCCCACTGTCTTAGGGCCTATAAGGGTTTTAATGTGGTCCTGAACAGAGGTAAGCAATCTTTTTTTCTATCAAGAGGTGTACTTTCTCAGAGGTAATCTGTCAGAAACACATTTGAAATATGCAACGCATAGAGCAATTTTGACTGCGCAAGATGATTTCCATTCCCGGGGGGAAATGCAAATTTCCCCTCAAACCATACTAAATATGCCAACCTCCAGGTTCTGAATCAGGCAGTTTAAGAGAATAAAAGCAAAGAGTAGCTGAGTTTACCTGGAGAACTGGGAGATGGTTGCTCTGTGGAAAAGGATGTCCAGGAATGCTGTCGGTCTGAATAAACAGATGAAAAGGACAAGAGGGAGCGGACAGAACAGGGAAACAGAGAAGGAGAAAGTGATCTAGGGCCTCAGTGATGGTATCAAAGAAAACATTAAGAAAAAATTAAGAAAACAAGAAAGAAGTTTTTAAAATTATCATTTCAGTTAAAACAATGCTAGTAAGACACATGCATCAGCTGTGTCATTTGTGTATTGTACAAGTGGGATTTACTGCCCAATAAATATGCATAATCTTGCCCAGCATACTCTAATAAACAGTGCTACAACAATTGTAACATATATCAGGAACTGCCTTGCCCAAGATAACCCTGTTCCTCTGCAGTAGCTTTCATGTCTGACCCTCCTTGTATTTCATAAGGTTTTGACAACTGCTCTGTTCAAGCAGACCTTTGACCTTGGATGACTGAGAGGTGGTGGGTTTTTTTTTTTTTTTACTGTTTGTAGCATGCTGATATATTTAGTTGTTTTTTTTGTACACCATCCAGAACAGGAATGATTGGGATGGTCTACAAATGTTAACATTCAGGGTTCTTCTCATTTTTGAAGAAAATTCTTTCATTGATGGAGTCCGTAGGGGATAATTCTCCCTCTGCATCCAGGCCCTCATGTCTCCTTGTTGAATTTTGGAACATATTGAGGAGCTGGAAAGGGGAAATGTGACTTTTGCTTCCTTGGATAACATTTTTGGTGCAAGAACACTGGATCCTTATCCACTGAATGAACATACTGAACTGACCTACCTCTGACTTACAATTATAGGAATGAGAAAGGAACTTATCGTGTCATCTTAAAAATAAGCTGTTTTCCTCCTTTAATAGGTGAATTACAATAATAGGAAGATGGCAAGAGTTGCCAATTTTGCTTCCTGCACTCCATGCTAAGTTAATAGGTAGTGAGAGTGTATGGAAACCACAGCAAGCAATGTTAAAATTCAGAACCCAGCATGCCATAAGTAAAGGTAGCTTCCTTAACTTACCAAGAAATTTTAACAGGCCTGTTTCTCCTGTATACTTGTAAGAGTTTCAAGAGAACAGAAGACAGAGAGAAGGGGGGGAGGGGGAGAAAAAGAATAGATGTCAGGAGGAAAGGAGATTTTTGTTCCAAAATTGGAGTCAGCATCTTGTCTTGTAAATGTTAGAAGTCCCGATCAAAGGTTAGTATCAATTGTGCATAGAACACAGCGAAAGAGAGCTTTAACATCTTTTGACTTGCATAAGCTATTGAGAAATCCAGAACTAGATGAGAACTTGTAACCTGACATATATTCAAATGCGCCGTTTTTCACAGATAATTGTATTCTGCTCCATATTTTTAAAAATATTTTTTAAAAACTTTAAGATATGTGGAGTTGAAGTTATTACAACTATAATATACATTTTAAGACTCAATAACATGCCGATAACATTGTTTGGCCTGATTTAAATTGTAGCTTCTTATTTTAATGCATGCAAATTGTATTTGGGTCTTTCCAATTTGATGGCCATTTCACTTCTTCTAGTAAACAAATAAATAACTGAAAGTCTTACCAGAATTTTCATAGGGATCCATAGGAAAAATATCAGCTTTCCTATCCTCCAACACATGGTCAAATGTGATTTGTGGAACAGGTAAAATCTTATCAGGAGAAAGTGATCCGTTATCCTTTTCTGTTTTGGTTTTCTTCTTTTTTACCTAACAAAAACAAGTATTTAAATATTTAAATATTTAAATTAAATCCTTTAATATCTAGCTTTAATTCATCACCATAGGATAATTTCAAATTAGAAAAAAAACTAAAGAAATTACAATAACTATGTAGGCTAAAATTATACAATTTACCTCCATTTTCTTTAATATAGTGATATGATTCCAATCATCATAGACAAAATAAAGACTAAATAGTTGTAATCATTATCATTCAAAAGGTACATGTTTCAGCTTTACAATTGGCATTTATTATCATGGACCTTCACTGTGCAATTATTCAGAAAACTGTAAGCTCTTTACATTAAGTAATCATAGTCATTAATCAAGTCTAAATGAGATGATGACTTGACTCACTATTCCTAATACCAGTGCTAAACTGTATATTACATATTGCTTTCTGTTACATATTGTATTTCTGGAGGTAGGGTGGGCAGGTTTTTGCATGTTTGTATGTGTGCATGCGTTTCTCTCTGTGTGTACATATCTATATCTATATCTATATCTATCTCATGTATATATATATCTATATATCTATATCTCTCTCTATATATAAAATGCATATGCTAAATGTGATAAATGTTGAATGCACACAGACACACACACAAATATATTTATTCCTTGATCAATCCATCTATCCATCCGTCCATGTATCCATTATTATAACAAAATTAATGAGAAATTACTTGTTTACCCAGCTCAATATTATTTCTGAGAATGGCACTGAACTCTTGGATATCTGATGGGAGTTTCAGAAGTTATTCTGTGAAGTCATAATCACCTATTGAGGCAGGTGAAGTGCAGTGTGCAGGGGGCTGATGAGCCCTTAGAATTCTATGATTGTCTGCAAGTAACACACACAGTTTCACAAATGTTACCAAAGACCCATAATGATTTACAGTTTGGTTCTTTGGTGCCTACTAGTTATTTTTTACTTTATTTTGAAGTGCTGTCTTTAATCCATCTTGGAGTATTTAGATACGCCTCTATCCTGTTTTCATTCTGGGAATTTTATTTTATTTTTAAGAAGAAGAATATAACAAATTTATTTAGGGATTCTTTCCCCTAAAAAATCCTAAATGAGAAATACTGATACTAAAGTAGAGCTAAAATCACACATGTAAAGAAAATAGAATCACCTTTTTTGAACAGTTTTTTTAAGGAAAAAACCTCACCTTGTACACAATTCCTCCCTACCAACTTAAGAGATGGGGAATTTTTTGCCAAGATAAAAAGCTTTTCTAAAAAAAAAAAAAAAAAAAAAAACTATTTCCCCCTATCCTTGCCCACAGTGTGGGGTGGAAGAGACTTCATAAATCATGTAAAAGATCTCCTACGTCTGTTGTAACTATGTAACTGTAACTGTAACTATGCATATAGTTAAAAAGTTACCAGATCCATTCCTTTGCATTGCCAGAAATATTCTACTGAAAATCTACTGGGATCTTAGAGTCCTAGTGGACAATCACTTAAATATGAACCAGCAATGTGATGCAGTCACACAAAAAAGTCAACACAGTGCTAGGCTGCATTAATGGAGGGATAGAATCAAGGTCACATGAAGTGTTAATATCATTTTATAATGCCTTGATAAGGCCACACTTGGAATACTGCATCCAGTTTTGATCACCACAATGTAAAAAAGATGTTGAAATTCTAGAATACTGATGGTGAACCTTTTAGAGACCGAGTGCCCAAAAACCGCCCCCCGGCTTGCCCCTACTCCGCCTGCCCACCTCCACCATGCTCTGCCCTCACCCCACCCGCCCTCAGGGCCATCCATGGCCCGCTGCAGATCGCCCAGGTGGCTCTGCAGTGCCATGGTGGCCACACCCTCCACCATGCCCCATAGTATCATCTGCTGCCCAGCTGCCATGTGCTTGGCTGCGCTGCTCTGCAAGGGCTGCACCCGGGGGTGACTCTCCTCCGGGGGGCTGCTGGTGAGGAGGGGGCTGTGGGGGGAGGCGGGGCTGGGGCAACGGCATGCGTGCGTGCCCACAGAGAGGGCTCTGAGTGCTGCCTCTGGCACTCATGCCATAGGTTCGCCACCATTGCTCTAGAAAGAGTACAGAAAAGAGCAACAAAGATGATCAAGGGACTGTAGGCTAAAACATATAAAGAACAGTTACTGGAATTGGATATATCGAAAAGAAGGACTAGGAATAACATGATAACAGTGTTCCAATATCTCAGGGGTTGCCACAAAGAAGAGGGAGTCAAGCTATTCTCCAAAGCACTCTGTTATTCTATTCTGTTCTGTTCTGTTCAATAATATGAGATAGTTTCCCTCAAATGAGAATCTGCATATAAGGCAATCCATAGGAAAAGCCCAAAGGAAGCGAAATTTCCCTATATGTTTCTATATTCCTGTGATATACATTCTACTGAATATACTTCAAGATTCTGGCTGAAATACAAATGTCCTTAGATGGTATTCAGATGTAGACTATACCTACATTTACTAGACTCAGGGCACTTCCATGAAGGTAAAATATTTTAGGAGGAATATTGTATCCCCTTGAGCCATATTCCAAAACTTTGTAAAATAACAGTTTGCCATTGTTACCCTTTTAAATTCCCCCCAGTTTCACTAACTGCATATGCTTGATGTAGATTCTCCTAAAGAAAATCTTTTGAAGAATAACATTGCCCCACCCCATGCGCCCCCCCCTCGGTTCTGCTTGTCACCGAAATAAGAGAGCTTTTTATGTATTTTGAAGCAGTGAACAAAGAAGGGGACCACAAAAGACAACACAACTCCCCACAATTTTATAAAAGTGTCATGTCAGGTAGGCAGACCAGCCTCTCAATTCAAGACTGCAACCCTACATGAAAAATAACATCTTCTGCATGGATACTTTATTTTAGAAAGACTCTGGTCAAAATATTCATCAAGGCTACATACCAGAATACCTATTTAATGGGAAAGAGCTTCATTTCCACCAACTTTAAATATTAAGTTATTCAATCAAAAATGTCAAATGAAATTAAAAAAGTATTCCTTACCGACACTATCCCTATTTTCTTTGGCTTGGGACTAGGAGACAACAAGTGATAACTTCTGGATGGTTTTTTAATATATATTTTCCATGTGGAAGAATCTGGGTTTTCCGATGCATAGCACCTCCAGGCTGTCTAAAATATTTGTTAGAAACACACAAAAGATGAAATTATCAAGAAAACAAACATGCATCTCTCAGGCTGCATGAATTTATCTAAACTAGGATATACTTTTATATTTATAAAGTATACCCTAAGTCAGGAATTGTAGAAATTTCAAAACAGGGGCAGAAGGGTGGAGGGATAAAGGAAAAAAAATATGTGCCAGTTATGAAGCAAATTAAACCTAATTCAGAATGAGGTGAGAGTTCAAATAAGTTACTGAGAATTCTTCACATTTAGCTATTTAACTGATCCATTTTTTTAAAAAAAATGCAATTATGACTCAAAGCCTCATATTGCTTCCTTCTGTAGAAAACTGGATGAAAACTGAAAAATTATCAGCCCTGTTTCGTTACTGGAAAAATAATAACAATCTTTTTGACAACTTTTGACAAAATAACACCAAACCTACCCTTTTAATAGTTGTAATATATGTAAGAAAACTAGTATTTAAGCATGAAGTCACCTGAATAAGAGAAGCAGCTGCTGGAATTTGTCGGTTGAAATGCTTTTGTCTTTGTTTCTGTTGTACCTTCAGAGCAAAACCAGAACCAAGGATTCCCTGAGGAACAGAGGAAATTAGTAGAATAAACCAATCAGTCAATTACATAAATACAATTTCAAATGTGAGGTTTGTGGTAAATTCAGCTACCATGGAATTTGGAGCAAAGATATTAATGAATTTGGGCCTGTTTATTGACAGCTGCATCATCTCTGAAATATCCAATTAGCTCTACTTGAAGTGGAATATTTGTAGTATTTTATTCTCTCTAGCATTTGCACACTTAAGAATTGTACTGAGCAACTGTTGCATAATGTAAACTCATAGCATAAAAAGTAGGTCTTATTCTTGCTGTTTGTAATATATTTTACATATATGAGTATTAACGTATTTAAGTAGTAAAGCCATGACATTCTGGGGTTGGTAGAAAAATGAACACATAAATGACAGGATCTTTTGAATTGGTTTTGGCAGTGCTTTGAATTGTTATTGCTGCAAAATGGCAACAAAACAGTGCAATTGTTGTTGTTGTTGCTGCTGCTAACATATTTTCTTGACCACCCTGAGCTTCCTTTTTTGAACAAATTTTACTCAGGAAGTCCACTCAAAATTCCCTCCCCTCAGGAATTAAATAAAGTGGGGGAGACTGTAGATCACTATATATTGAATAGTTCAAGGATTTTTCACCTATGCCTTGTGATTAATTGTACAAGAGCCTCACGTATTAAATGTTTTTCCTCCTTAAGAATTATCAAAAGTATATGTTGCCATCAAATTAAATGAAGATAGTAAAAAACAATTGCAGAATCTATCTATCTCTACTCTATATTACAGTAAGTATGTGTTTGTATGTATGCATGTGTATGTGACAGCAATGGAATACAAGATCGCAGGGCAATCACAGCATACTTAAATACATATCTAAGTATATCTTCCCAAATGCTCAGAGAACTTTGAAGTAATAATTGTAACATCATGTTTTACTGATATAATGTTTATTATTTTCTATATGTTTCCTGTTTTGTGGGGGTGTCTTCCTCTCTTTAACTCAAGTAAGCTGTCCAGAGTTATTTTGGAGTTGGGTGAGAAACTAAATCTAAATCAGTATTTTTCATTATTTTGTTTTTACAATTAATATTTTAGCTTTTGTCCTTATGGCAATCAATAGAACAATTTCTTACCTCTTGTAAGCTGTATTCAGTGCAATGTAAAAGAAGTACATAAAATTAATGTATAGTTAAATTATATTACACAGGAGCTAATAAAAATCTATCCTATTATATGTATGTACAGTTAAAAAAAGTTACACTAGTATAAACAACTTACTGCAGGCAAGGCAAAAAATGATATTGCAAATACAGAAAAGCAAGATGCAATGGTTTTTCCTATCCATGTTTGAGGCACCTTGTCTCCATAACCAATGGTTGTAACAGTCACCTGAAATCAAGAAATAAATATGATTACAATGCAGTAATCTAGCTTTATTAATGTTTCAAATTATTTCTGAAGTATATATATTATAAACTATATTTGCATATTTCTATTATGCAAACTAGAAAAGTTTTTATTCACAAGAAATTAAAAGTAGTTACCATACGTTGAAAGATGCAATAGTAATTTTTTTCAGAAAAAATGTCTTTTAGGATATTCTTATATATGCAAATTAACTAATAAGCTTATAAGGCTATGTAGATTCAGAACAGCATCTCTCCTGCTTCTCCAATCATTTTGCTTCTTAGAGCTCTTCTGCACTATAGGGCTGGACTCCAGGGATAAAATGGCTGAAATGAAAAAGGCTTAAGAAATCCAGATTTCCAGATTTCAACCCCTTTATTCACTTTGGTCATAGTAATATCTAGATCAGTAATACCCCAGCCCTTAACTAATAGATTATTTTTTTATTTAAACAGCTCCTAGACCAGAGGGAGGGAGGGAGGGAGGGAGGGAAGGAAGGAAGGAAAGAAGGAAGGAAGGAAGGAAGGAAGGAAGGAAGGAAGGAAGGAAGGAAGGAAGAGAAGCAACCTAGAACTAAGGAGAAACTTCCTGACAGTTAGAACAATTAACCAATGGAACAACCTGCCTCCAGAAGTTGTGAATGCTCCAACACTGGAAGTTTTTAAGAAGAGACTGGACAACCATCTGTCCAAAATGGTGTAGGGTTTCCTGCCTGAGCAGGGGGTTGACTCGATGCCCTCCAAGGTCCCTTCCAACTTTATTATTATTATTATTATTATTATTATTATTATTATTATTATTATTATTATTATTATTATTATGAATCATTGCACAGTCAGCCAGATGTTCAGACTGGATTTGGCATTTTGTCTACCTATCGAGTCCTTCCCAAGGACCTGGGATAGGCAGATGTGGATGTTTGATGGTATTACAGATATCGTCGCAGGATGAAAGCAGTTCCTAGTAAGGCCGCCTTTTGCAATTGACTAATGGCGAATTTGTCAGTGCCAATGGTGTTCAAGTGGTGCTCAAGTTGTTTTGGGATTGCACCCAAGGCGCCTATTACTATTGGTACTACTCTTGCTTGCTTTTGCCACAGTCTTTCTATTTCTATTTGTAGGTCTTTGTATTTTGTTATCTTCTCCAGTTCTTTCTCATCTATTCTGCTGTCTCCAGGCACTGCCACGTCCACTATCCAGACTTTTTTGTCTTTCTTATCGACAATTGTTAAGTCTGGGATGTTATGTTGCAGGTGCTTGTCTGTTTGAATTCTGAAGTCCCAGAGCAGTTTAACTTTATCATTTTCTATGACTTTCTCTATTTTATGATCCCACCAGTTCTTGCTTACAGGCAAATGATATTTCTTGCAGATCTTCCAATGCACCGTTGTTGCTACTTTGTCATGCCGCTGCTTGTAGTCAATCTGTGCGATCTTCTTGCAGCAGCTTACCAGGTGGTCCACTGTTTCTTCAGCTTCTTTGCATAGGCGGCACTTACTGTCTGTTGCTGTCTTCTCAATTTTGACTTTGTATGCATTTGTCCTTAAGGCTTGGTCTTGTGCAGCCAGAATTAGTCCCTCGGTCTCTTTCTTCAATTTTCCTGCTCTTAGCCATTACCAGGTCTTGTTATTATCTGCTTTCCCAGCTATTTTTTTTTTTAATGTACTGGCCATGCAGTGCTTTGTCTTCCCATGTCTCTATTCTGTTCTTTATTTGGTCTTTCTTGTAGGCCAGTTTGGTCTCTCCAGTAGTCAGTAAGCCTTCCTGATATACTAATTTTAGTGCATCTTCATCACTGTCCTTCAGATATTTTTCCAAAGCTATTTTTTCTTCTTCAACCATCTGATGTACTTGCAGCATTCCACGCCCACCTATTTGCCTTGGTAGATAAAGTCTGTCAATGTCACTAC